AGAGCCAGGCGGATCTCTGTGAGTTCGAGGCCAGCCTGGGCTACCAAGTGAGTTCCAGGAAAGGCGCAAAGCTACACAGAGAAACCCTGTCTCGAGAAACCAAAAAAAAAAAAAAAGATGTAAGAACTAGATAGCTAGAAGCCTGAGCCATTAGGCCAAACAGTTTAAATAATATAAGTGTCTGTGTTTATTTTATAAGTGGGCTGTCGGACTGCTGGGGCTTGGAGGACCCGGAGAGAAAACTCTCCAGCTATACTCACACACTCACTCTTAACCTCTGCCCAACTCTTACACCACCATTACTTCACATCGCTTGCTCTCTTCCCTTAGCTAAACTCTGCACAATATATGTTACATTTTCAGGGTCCACCCATACTCATAACACAAGGTAAGTTAGGTAGTTTCTTTTAGGCTAGTCATGTCACATTGACCCATGCACGTAGCTCTAGGTTGAGGAGGATCCCTGACAGTAAACAGTTGGCAGAACCTTGAGTCATCAGGATACCAGTGCAGAAAGAGAGCTAATGCAGAGAGCTATGTCTCAGTGTAAACAGCCTGGCCTTGATTTAGCAATAAACAACACCTGGGAATCAGTCTTTGTGTATTTTCTGCAGGGCAGTTTAGTCTGTTTCAAAGTCTAAAATTAGCTGTCTTTGAGACTGAGAATACTGTTACTTTCCTGTGTCAGAAAAGAAGAATATTCTGTTATTATTTCTGATTATCAGAATTATATAGCTTAAACAGAAATCATCTTCCTGACCATTCACAGCTATATGTGTGCTAAATAAGTGTAAAACACACTACCAAAGGGCTGTGGAAAGAACTCCACAGCTGTTCTGATTAGGGAGGCATAACAGTGGCACCCAAGAAAGTTATGGACAACCAATCATTTACAGTCAATAACCCCATGGCTTTGCCAAGTGGGGTCCTCCAACAGGGCATCATGAGTCTGGTGGGTCAACTTGTTAAACACCAGTTGTCACTGCTGTACATCCCCACGGTCCCCTGCACTGGGCTCCAGCCTCCCCCCCCCCTTCTCCTTGTTCTACCTTCCACTGAAGTGTATCTCTTTTGAGAGAAGTAGGGTCTTGGAGTTATCCTTGCTGTTTCAGAAAACAAAAATATACTATTCAATATAGTTTAACCATGTTTGTTATACTAAACAGGTCTCCTTTAACATCTTCCTGTTCATTCATCCAACAGTATATCAGTGCCTGTTATGTGGGAAGCACTGTTTCATGAAACAAGACACCACAGAGCAAAGTCAAGTCTTAGCTGGGTGTGGTGGTTCAGCACTTGGGAGGCTAGAGCAGGAGAGCAAGCGGTCAGAGGATCCTGGACTATACAGTAAGATGGTTATAGTAACCAACAGGGGGTGATGAAGATGACCAGCCAGTAAAGTGCTTTCTATGCCAACATGAAGACCCAAGTTTGGATCTAACACCCCAAAAGCTGGGCAGAGCTCTATAATTCCAGCGCCAGGGAGGGAGGGACAAGAGGATCCCTGGGGCTTGCTGGCTAGCCAATCAGTGATCTCTAGGTTCAGTGAGAGACCCCACCTCAAAAAATAAGGCGGTGGACTAAAGAGATGGCTCTGTAGTTAAGAGCACTGGCTGCTCTTCCAGAAGACCTGAGTTCAATTCACAGCACTCACGTGGCAGTTAACAACCATCTACACAGTTCCAGAAGATCTGACACTCTCTTCTGGCTTCTGTGGACACTGCAGACACATGGTACACAAACATATGCAGGCCAAATATCCATATACATAAAGCTTTAAAAAAATAGTAAGGTATTAGGGTGATTAAGGAAGATATCTGGTCAACTTCTGTCTACATATGCATATACACACACCCATGTACATTCACCTTTCTCCACATGTGTAGTTATATGATTCAAACAAAACAGTAACAATAACAAAAAAGACCTCTTCCTCCTCCTCCTCTTCTTCTTCCTTCTTTTTTTTCTTCCTCCTCTTCCTCCTTGAGAGACTTTCATGTAACTGGGGCTGACCTCAAATTCTCTACGTAGAGGAGGATCTTGAATTCCTGGTCCTCCTGCCTCCACCATTCACATGCTGGGATTTCAGGTGTGCATTACCACTCTTGGCCAAAAGGACAATGTCTTATTTGAGTAGAACTTATAGTCAAGAGTATGAAACATTTTCAATGTTGGAAATTTATTATTAAATGGCTTTCAACTGTAAATAATTTACAGTGGACATTATTATGTGTAATTTTTATCTCACACATTTAATTCTTAATATGGGATTTTTAAGAGTTTAGAGTTTAGTATTTAATAGGCCCCAAATACTCAGGTTGGTCAGAACTCACCGCGTCTTGGTGACATACGTTGACAGCAGCCTACAGCACCAAAAAGATTTCCTCCTGCAAACTGCTCCGCAATACAGAGACATTGTTGGGCCCCTAGAGAAAAACGGAGGTTTGTTTGCTTTGATTTTAGGGTCACAGTTTGCACTTTAAAGTAATAAATCAACAAAGGAGTTATAGCTTAAGCCAGGACAGAATCACTTTGCAATATCAGGGAAAAAACAAACAAACCAACAACTACCACCACAACCCAAAACTCATGTGAACGGGCTTTGACACTGTTGTTTCGTTTGTCCGTCTGTTGTTTTTTGTTTTTTAAGATAGGGCCTCACTATGTAGCCTCGGCTGGCCTCAGACTCCCAGAGATCTGCCTGAGTGCTGGGATTTTAGATGTGCACCACCATCCCAGGCCTTCACTGCACTTTATCATTAACTAGCCATGGGATCTCAAACTCCCATTGCTTATTTTCTTTTTCTTTTTCTTTTCTTTTTTTTTTTTTTGGTTTTTCGAGACAGGGTTTCTCTGTGTAGCTTTGCACCTTTCCTGGAACTCACTTGGTAGCCCAGGCTGGCCTCGAACTCACAGAGATCCATCTGGCTCTGTCTCCCGAGTGCTGGGATTAAAGGCGTGCGCCACCACCTCCCAGCCCATTGCTTATTTTCTAATACACAAAATTGAAACCTGTTCTGCTCAGCTAGTGAGTTGTGCGGATCTCCTAATTAACATAAATGATGTGTTTCCTCCTTTGTACTGTGGAACTGTTGCTGGGAGGTGGCTGCAAGTCAACCATCTCTCTCCCCTTCCTTGTTCCTAGGTGGGGCCATGCTTGGGTCTTAATAATATGGTGTCAGTGGAAGTGAAGTGCGTCCCTTCTCGGATGAAGCATTAGCAGTGAATGTGGCTTCTCCATCCTCACTTCCCTTTGCTTGGAAGACCCCAATGGCAAAGGCAGTCAGTAGATAGAGTAGCTTGGATCCTTGATTCACACACGGGGAAAAGCTCCCCACCAACCAAAACTCCTCTGCACTGGACTGTTTGTAAGAAATGAACTTTGACCGTATTGGGTAGGGGTAGAGTGGGGTCATGATAGAACACTTTCATAGCATGTGCAAGGCCCTGGGTTCAATCCCTAGAACTGTGGGTAGTATCAGAAAAGAATTCTTAAAAAGAAAGGCAGCTGGGCTGGAGAGATGGCTCAGAGGTAAGAGCACTGACTGCTCTTCCAGAGGTCCTAAGTTCAATTCCCAGCAACCACATGGTGGCTCACAACCATCTGTAATGAGATCTGGTGTGAAGGTACACATGCAGGCAGAACACTGTATACATAATAAATAAATAAATAAATCTTTAAAAAAGAAAAAGAAAAACAGCTTTGACATATTAAGAAGCTAAAAGTTTTTAATTTTTTAGCTTTAATTCTTGAGACTGAGTGCAGGGTCTGGCACATTAAGCCATGTGCTGTGGGATGTTCTGTATGTCCTGTGGGAGCCCGTTCTCGGGTTCCTAATGGCTTTACCCAACAGGTCCACATAGAGGATGATTAGGACCACGGGCCTAAGTACAGGTGTTTGAGATGGTCTACACTTGGCTGTGCTGGGAGATGGTCTGTAGGTCAAGTTGCTCTGATTGGTCAATAAATAAAACCTGATTGGCCATGGCTAGGCACAAAGTATAGGCAGGACTAACAAAAAATAAAAATAAAAAAACAAAAAGACAAAAGGAGTCACTGCCTGCAACAGCCACCAAGACAAAAAAATATAAAGTAAGCCACGAGCCACGTGACAAGGTATAAATTTATAAAAATAGACTAATTTAAGATATAAAAACAGTTAACAAAAAGTCTGCCACGGCCATACAATTTATAAACAAAATAAGTGTCTGTGTTTACTTGGTTGGGTCTGAGCGGCTGTGGGACTGGCGGGTGAGAGAGATTTGTCCTGACTGTGGGCAAGGCAGGAAAACTCGAGCTACAGCCGTGTGCTCTACCACCGAGCTATACCCCGTCTCCTGACCACTGAAATTTATTACGGTCATTAGCATTATCCTAACAGAATAAATGACAATTCTGAGATATCTCCAGACTCCTGAATCCAGGTTTCTCATCCATGAAAAACAACATGCTAGGCTGGTGAGGTGGCTCAGCCGGTAAAGGTGCATGCCTGCCACCAAGCCTGACGACCTGCGTTCGGTCCCCAGGACTCACAGGGTGGGAGGAGAGAGCCGATCCCACAAGCTCTCCTCTGACCTCCACGGATGCACCAGGACATCCACACGAAATAAATAAATTTAAGACGGAGTAAAAAAAAAATTTGCCTGGTAGTAGTGGCGCATGCCTTTAATCCCAGCACTCGGGAGGCAGAGCCAGGCGGATCTCTGTGAGTTCGAGGCCAGCCTGGGCTACCAAGTGAGTTCCAGGAAAAGGCGCAAAGCTACACAGAGAAACCCTGTCTCGGAAAACCAAAAAAAAAAAAAAAAGAAAAAATCCAATATCTCGGGCTGGGTGTGGTGGCGCACACCTTTAATCCCAGCACTGGGGAGGCAGAGGCAGGCAGATCTCTGTGAGTTGGAGGTCAACCTGGTCTACAGAGTGAGTTCCAGGACAGCCAGGACTGTTACATAGAGAAATCCTATCTCTAAAAACCAAAAAGAAAAACAAACAAACAAACAAACAAAAAACCCAACATCTCTTAGAGAATGAAGTAGGAGAAAATCCTGTAGATTAAGAAAACTTAAAATCAGGGCCACTAGGAAGATATGTCAACAGACAGCTATGCAAATTCACAGGAATCCAAGGTAGTCTCTATTTTTGTGGTATATGCTGTGTCTTAAACACCCACTTTCAGAACTGTGCTTGATTGCTTGCTTCTGCACTCTTGGGGATTGAAGCCAGAGCCTCACACATCTGACTGCTACTGTCCACATCCTAGACAAGCACTGAACCCCTGAGCTACATCCCCAGCCCAAAGTTTCCCTTTAAATTGTGTATCAGTATGTATTGTCTTCCCTGTGCAAGGCACCTTTCATATTAGCAGTAAAAATGTCAAGAAATTCCACCAAGAAAGTAAGACCATACAGTTAAATAATCAACCACCTTCTAACTGTCCCCGGGGAAGCAAACTTTGACGTTAGCCTGCCGAGAAACATTTAGAGTTCAGACCTGCTTCTTGATTGCACAATTATGAGTCACTTGATGACTAACCCTTGAATAGTTCTGGTTGTGATCTATGACCCTGGCGAGGGTAAATTATATTTAGCACACGAGAGTCAACAAAATATTAGGTACTGATGTTACTCAAGGTCGCTTAAGAAACATGAAACATACAGTATGAATCACCTTCACAGAAGGCAGTATGTACTCTGTGGGTTAAAAAGCACTCTGAGATGGTGTTAAAGGTGCAATTTCAATGATGTGTTTAAGGACAACTTTACCAGCTCACATATAATTCAGAAATGTATATTGCTCCAATATTTTAAAGTTAATTTAAGAGTAACTATTAATGTGTTAAATAAACTTTCTTTTATCTAAAAATTCTACATCTAAGAATCTATCCTAGGAAGGAAAGAACATGTTTAAGAATGTTAGTCAAAGGTCTAGGGGCTGGAGAGGGCACAGCATTTCAAGGTGCCAGCTGCTCTTCCAGAGGATCTGTTCAGTTCCCAGCACCCACATGGCAGCTCACGAGTGTAACTCCACTCCCATGGAATCCAATGCCCTCTTCTGGCCTCCACTGGCACCAGGCACACACGTGCTATAGAGACATACAGCTGTTTATGAATGAACATAAAGTAAATAAATACTTCTTTTAAAATTATGATCATGGGACCCAGCAAGATGGCTCAGCCACTGAAAGCACTCAATGTACAGGCCTGGTGAGCTGCCTTTGATTCCTGGAACCCACGGTGGAAGGAGGAGGAGAAGACTGACTCCCCAGAGTGGTCCACTGGCCTCCACATGCAGACTGTGGCAGGTTTGCATGTGCAGACACACACACACACACACACACACACACACACACACACATCATACACACACAATAACAGTAAAATAAAAAGTTTAAATTGCAATCTGGTCTGGGGATACAGCTCTGTTGTAGACTACTTAACTAGTAGGCATGAGGCCCGAGGTTTGATGTCAGCAATCCCCCAAATTATGATTAAAGAGAATAATAAGTAGCTTCTAAATAGAGGATGATGTGTATAGTAACAGGAAAGAGTAGTCATAATATTTTACTAAGTGAGAAATACCCAGAAGGCAATGGGGAGATGCTGGCCGAAGGGTATGTAGGACATACTTGGATAGGATATGTAAATTCTGCAAATCTGTGGCACTGATGGTCACCATATACACTTGAAAACCTGTAAGAGATCTTAAATGCCCTCATCACAGTGAGCAACTATAAATATGTGAGGTGATAGATATATTAGCTTGATTTATTTAATAGGATATGCAGATATTGAAATATTGCATACTATAAATATGTATTTTTATCAATTTATGATGATGACTTTCTAAGGGGAGTCTGGCCTGGGATTCACAATATAGCCTAGGCTGGCTCCGAACCAGAGGCAACCATCCTCTGGCAGCCCCACAAGTACTGAGATAACACACAGAAGCACCACATCGAGTTTTATTTGCTATTATATCTTCAGCTAGACAAGCAGAAAAGACAAGTAATATTTGGTTGGTCACCATTACCTCATTCGTGTACCATGAAAAGAACAGATAAACAGTCCAGTATACATAAATTACATTTTTGCTTTTTTTTTTTTTTTTTTTAATTATTTTGAGATTGGGTCTTAGCTTAGGCAGACCAGGAAATCACTATATAACCCAGGCTGACCTTGAACTCATGGCAATCCTCCTGCCTCTGACTCCTCGGTGCTGTGATTACAAATGTATAACGCTTTACTCATTTGGAGTTACGTGGACTTGTTACTGTTGTTTGTTTTGAGAGGGTCTTACACAACCCGGGCTGGCCTCGAATTCACTGATCTTCCTGCTCCCCACTGCTGGATGTTAGGATTATAGTTAGGTATTTATATTTTTCAAATGACTAGAAGTATACAGACCAAGCTATAGACAGTGGCTAGCTTAGGAGAACGAGAAGATGAAGGTTGAGAAGGGTACATGCAATTATTGCACTTGTGTGTGTGTGTGTGTGTGGGCACACACACGCCCCAGGACAGAGGTACAGACTGGAGGACACCCTCCGGTGTTGGTCTTCAGCCTCCACCTTATTTTCAGACAGGCTGTTTCTGTTGTTCGTCCCTGTGACACCAGGCTAGTTAGCCTGTGAGCTTCCAGGACGCCTCCTCTGCTTCTCCTTTCACTGTAGGGGTGCTTGGGTGACAGGTGCGTGTTTCTGCACCCAGCTTCACATGGGTCTTGGGGACTCAAACTCAGCAAGCACTTTACCCACTGAGCCATCCTCCCAGCCCTGACGTAAATTTATTTATTTTTACCGATTTTTAAATTTCATTCAGTTACTTATTCTTGAGGTAAGGTCTCTCACTCTGTAGCCAGGCTGGCCTCGCTGGCAGCGACCACTCTGCTTCAGCAGGAGGGATTATAGGCACTGAGACACAATGCCCAGCCTCCTTTAAGAATTGAAGCACATGCACTTATGCTTTTTAAGAAATAAGAATGTATAACAAAACAGTGGTTCCTGGGACTGATAACTGGAGATTATTTCTAGGCTACTGGAATTCCTCTGGTAAGGTTCATGGATCCTGGGAACTGCAAGAACTACTTCTTTGCGGCTGTAGCTACTCCCTACTCTGTGTGGCCCACTGTATGACTGCCTAGTGTCCTGCCCAATTTCTGTTACTAAATCAATTTTAGCCAGCTGCAGATTATCATGGCCTGAATATTCAGGAATTTGTCACGGAGCGCTGCGCCCCTCGTGTGTGTGTGTGTGTGTGTGTGTGTGTGTGTGTGTGTGTATACAAAGAATTAAGAGATGAGATGAAAGTAGCACTGTTTTAACCTAAAACTAACAAATGCCAAGGCAGGATCCATATGAACTAACAGGTACGTAGGTACACACACACACACACACACACACACACACACACACACACACACACACACACACACTTCTCATCTTGCTCCTCTTTCCAGAAGGAATGACTTATAAGGCATAAAGCGTGACAAAGCGTTCATCCTGAATCTTCACGGGTGCCCTCACCCTGCAGAGGCATCGCTGCCTGTCTTTGGGAGCGTCCTGAGAACATCCATTTCACTGTGGACTTCGACGAGGCTGGGAAGGATGCGAAGACACCGTGATGCAGACTTTATGGTCTTGTTATATGAAAAGCTTTATGGTTTACTTCTAAAAGATCCCACCACCACTTCAAAAATTAAGAGAAAAGGTGAGAAAAGGGAACGTTCCACGTTTAATTAGCTCTCCAAAAAACGTTTCAGAAAATAAATCAGAGGTACTCAATGTTGAATGCAAAATGGTCCGGTTTCTCGAGATTAGAAACACTTAAACTCAAACTCGGTAGCCGAGAACGTCTGCTAAGTTTTGATTATGGCTCCTCACTACATCCTGGCTGCACTTAGAACAGGTTTCGTTTTGCTGTACTCACTCGGAAGTCTTTTCGGGGTGCCTCCTATGCCCCAACAGTCTGCAAACACCAGGAAACGCCAAATGTCCAAGTTCAAATGGTTTCTCCTTTCCCTTCCCAGTGGGACTGATGCTTCTGCCACTCCTCCCAGAATCCTCCTAAAGATGAACTCTGGGAAACGTAATTTAATCGCTACGCCCGCGACAGTAATTATAATTGGCCAAAAATCATACGTCTGCCACGCTTCCCAGCATTCCCCCAGAGACTAGAGATGCACTCTGGGAATTGTAGTTCAATTTCCAGTCACGGAGTTGTGACCTTGGATAGCAAAGTGAACTGCAGTTGTCAAGTTTATAATGAAAACCACCACAACCAAAGAACTCTCGCAGTTTCCAGCTCTTTCTGGGCTGGAGGCTTTATTTAGATGTTGCTTAGCTGAATTGGTGAGTTCCAGGTTCAGTAAGAGACCCTGCCTTAACAAACAAAGGGAGAGCCATGGAAGAAGACATTCAATGTCAACTTAACCCTTTCTCTGCACTCCCACACTTGAACATGCACCCATGGACACGCATGTGCCCATGCACATGAACCCACACATATTTACACACACACACACACACATACACACGCACGCACGCACACAAAAAAACATTTTTTAATGCTAGTTTTTTTGGGAATTTTTTTTTTTTTTTTTTTGAAGGCTAGGAGTCCCAGGCCTGCCTTTAATCCCAGGAGACAGCTCTCTGAATTTGAGTCCAGCCTGGCTTATATAATAGGTTATAGGTTATCCAGGTGTGCACACTGAGGCCCTGTCTTGAAATAAACAAACAAACAAACAAACAAATAAGAGAGGGCTGTGCTTAGGTATATATAAGTTTTGGTATAATTTCTACCTTGACTGATCAGTCAGACCAGCAACATATTACACCAAGATCCAGTAAAGCTACCCAGGGCTGCCCTCTTCTTACTATGGAAGCTGCTTGCTTATATGAAAAGCCAGTGTTGTAGGCCACTCATTCAAAATCTGTTTAGTTAGCGTCAGTTTTTCATTTTTGTGTGTGGGTGTTTTGCCTGCAAGTGTGTCTGTACACCATGTACATCTCTGGTGTCCTTGCAAGCCAGAAGCGGGTGTCAGATCCCCTGGAACTGGAGCTAAGGATTAAAAAAGTACAGAATACATTAAAACATCTATTCCTGTGTAAACCAAATTCTATGGGAGGTAACAACAAAATAAGGAAGTATACAGATGGTTGTAAGTGCTGGGGGAGATTAAAACACATTAGGAGGAATGATGTTGCTATTTTGTGTAGGCTGGTTAACCTCATTGTTAAGGCAGCATTTGAATAAAGAGCTTGAAGAAGGTAACAGGGAAAACCAAGTCAGGGTTTATGGGGAGAGACTTGTAGACAGAATAAAACGAGCTTATGCAAAGGGCCTGGGGTGGAAATGTGCCTGGCAGATTCAAAGAAAGGGTAGGATTGAGTCTGGAGAGATGACACAATCGTTTAGAGCCCTGGCTGTTCTTCCAGAGGACCTGGGTTCAATTCCCAGCTCCAGGATGGAATTCTAGTTCCAAAGGATCTGAGGCCCTCTTCTGGCCTCCGAGGGCACTGTTTGAATGTGGTACACAGATGTACGTGCAGGAAAAACATCAATATAAGTAAAAATAAAAAGTAAAATAAAAAAGGAAGGTCATGGTGTGAGAGATGAGATCAGACATTAGAACACACAGGGCCTCATAAGTGCTGAGTCCTTATAAAGCCATTATAATATTCTTGCTCTTATTCCGAGGGGGGTGGAATGTCACTGAAGGAGGTAAACAAAATAAGAGGACTTGACTTACATTTTAAGAGAATCATGGACTGGCAGTTAGACTGTAGGGGACAAATGTTACTAAATCCTGAATGTAGTTTATATATATATATATAGAGAGAGATTATTAGGAAAAGAAGAGCAGATCTAGTTAACTGGCTAGCCATTTTGTTTCTAACGGTAAGTGGAGAGCAGGTGTGTGTGTGTGTGTGTGTGTGTGTGTGTGTGTGTGTGTGTGTGTGTGTGTCTGCGCGCGCGCCATCGGAAAACCTTGGGCATCATGTCTCAGGCACTATCCACATGGTTTTTTGAGACAAGATCTCTCAGCCGGAAACTCTCTGAGAAGGCTGTGCTGGTCAGCTATTCATCCCCAGGGATCTGCCTGTGTCTGCCTCCCCAGGGTTATAAGTGCAGGCCACTGTGCCCAGCTCTTTCCATCAAGAATGAAAAAACGGGACCTCAGAGATGGCTCACCAGGTAAATGATCTTGCTGCTAAGCCTGACAACCAGAGTTCAACCCCCAGAACCCACGTGATAGAAGGAGAGAAGCAATTCCTGCAAGCTGCCCTCTGGCTTCCACATCAGGGCCATGGAGCATACTCTAAATTTATTAATTAATGTAAAAATAGATAAATGCCATCTGAGGAATAACCTAAGGTCAAACTTTTGCCTCCTTATGCACACACACACACACACACACACACACACACACACACACACACACAGAATAAGTTGGCACTGATAAAGGTTACCATTTACATTACTGCATTTCTAGGCTCTCAATATACCCACACCCCTAAGGCACACAGAGGCAAGAGCTTGACCGCTGTTCTGACAACCAAGGAAATGTGGGCAGTTGAAGAAGTCTCCCAAAGCTGTGCAGCTAGTGTAGCCCAAGTGTTCTGCTCTCTCCATTGGGCCACACTGTCTTTAAAGGCACAACCAGCAAGAGCTGCCCTCTCTGCTGATTAGAAGGCAGAGCTACAGCCTCCCCAACCCTGCGTCTGGGGCACTGTTGTCCTAACAAACAGCAGCCTGGAAGTAATCAACAACATCATCAACACACCAGCTGAGTGATGGAGCTGGAGTACCATTGGGGCTGGCATGATGGGAGATCCCTGGAATGGAGGGTACAGCCACAGACATATCACCAAGGGAGGCCACCTTCCCTGCTGCCAACTCTCACACCTGGGACATTATGAGAGACTCTGGGGGACTTCATCTTACTCAGTTCATCAACACACACACAAGCCCCAGGATCCAGTTTTTGTTTGTTTGTTTGTTTTTATTTGGAGCTAAGGATCAAACCCAGGGCCTTGCACTTGCTAGGCAAACATTCTACCACTGAGCTAAATCCCCAACAGGATCCAGTTTTTATTCTCAAAGGAAAAAAAGAAATCCTGGTTTCTTAGTGATCATGAAGACTCATAGAGAGAGGATGCAAAGGCCATTTCCCACCAAGTCAGGGTCAAAGGGCCAGTAGACTTAATCTGTCCAGACACACAGCAGGACCCATTATGTAGCATTTTTGTGTGTAGCCCATTTATCAGGTCCCACCACCAAGCAAACAGTAGCCGGGCCAGCACCATCCCAGCCAAAGCAAACACCCTGCCCTGCCTGGGGTTCTCTGCTCTTAATTTAGCGTGCTGCCTTGCCATGGCTTCTTCCCAGCGCTCATTACCCGGAATTTGTAGGAACGGCCCAGAGAGGGCAGTTTAATGGAAGGCTCCCTGCTCTGAGCATGCACTAAGAGCCAGGATGGATTAGCTTGATTTAGGACTCAGCAGAAGTTTAAATCCCTGCCCAGGGCACCTGCAGACAGGTATATGTCCCCCACAGGGACATTAGTCATCCAAGGCATCAAGTCTGTTCTTCCGGTGCCAAGCACGGGTTTTACATCCGAGGAAATGAGGTTGACTCCTTTCTGGAGGCCCCTCCTATAATCTCCCTTAATGCTCAAATTTGGAAGTGTTTCCAACCAGAAAGGTTCCTTGGAGCAATCCCATACCCACAATCCCCCTCTTCTAAGAGATGCCAGGAAAAGGCCTGGCAAGGGCCCCTGGCCCTCCCAACAAACCTCTAATGTTCCCATTTGGGTTCTGGAGCCCTTTTTGAGGTCAGGAAGAGTGCTCAGGAGATCAGGAGGGCCAAGACCTCAATCCAAGAGCCACCCCCATCATTTGTGGCCTCGAGCAGGCCATGCTTCCATACGGGCCTCTCAGCATCTGTCACAGGCAGCATCCACCCTCACTTGGTCAGTGAATCTTTTCAGAGATGAAGTCCCCCAGAGTCTCTCATAATGTCCCAGGTGTGAGAGCTGGCAGCAGGGAAGGTGGCCTTCCTTGGTGATAAAACCTGGCCCCACTTTAGTGATATGTCTGTGGCTGTACCCTCCATTCCAGGGATCTCTCACCATGCCAGCCTCAGTGCTACTCCAGCTCCATCACTCAGCTGGGACACAGTGTAGGCACCGGAAATGGTGCCTGGAGGGCCGTGTGGTGGTCCACGGATGCGCAGCTGGAGGGCTGTGTGGTGGTCCATGGATGTGCAGCTGGAGGGCTGTGTGGTGGTCCACGGATGCTCAGCTGGAGGGCCGTGTGGTGGTCCACGGATGCGCAGCTGGAGGGCTGTGTGGTGGTCCACGGATGCGCAGCTGGAGGGCTGTGTGGTGGTCCACGGATGTGCAGCTGGAGGGCTGTGTGGTGGTCCACGGATGCTCAGCTGGAGGGCTGTGTGGTGGTCCACGGATGCGCAGCTGTACGTTGGTCTGTTCATGTGAGGAGCCATGTCCTAGAGCATGGCATGCTGTCTGCTCTGCTGTGTACCATCCCTTCTTGAGCCTCCTGGGCACTGCGGCATGCCGGTATCTAGGGGAGTTAGGAGAGCTGAGGTTGGAGCTGGCGCAGACTCCCAGCCATCTTCCAAGAGCAGCATTAATCCCAACCCAGGCTACTCATCAGCAATGTAGAGGAAACGTCAGACCCGAGGCCTAAGGTGGCCCCAGGTCTGACCACACCTGTCCTTGGACCGGGGAGATAAACGGGGATTCAGCTCAGGCTGTGCACTAGAATTACTGGGACATTTCCCAGAGATTTCGATCCCAAAGACTGGAGTATGTCCTGGGGTGTCTAAAAGGCCTCAGCGACGAGCACATAACTTTTGTAAGCTAGGATGTGCCTCGACTTCCTTCCTGTCCT